ATAGAGTGCATCATTATTGTGCAAGTCACATACAGTGGGATGATGGAGAAGGGTAAAGGAGGTGAAAGTGTTAATATACAGGCACTACAGACATGGAGCTGAGAGGAGTGAAAAGGTTCAATATGTATCCTACAGTAACCTGTATTATCCTCTCCCCAAGTTCTGTTGTCTACCTCCAAGAATCCCTCCATTCATAAAATGCTCTTTCCTCTACTTCCTCTGTCATTAGAGTAAGGGGAGGGCTCTCAAATGTAAACTGTAATACTGTTTACATTTGTGATCTCTGTGGCTGGCTATCACAGCCATCACAAGGCACAGATCCACTCTGATTGGCTCTGTGCATTTTGACGATGATCTTGCCCTGGCTTTGTGCATGCACACATGTTGCAGAGTGTCATTTAAAATTGTTCCAGAATACCACGTCCACTGTACCATCATTTTAAAATGTACGGTGGCAGGCAAGTTTATAAAATACAGAGATGTGCACAGTGCCATCATAGTGACATATGACTTGTCATACATTTTGCATGCAGTCTGACATGCATTTAAAGCACCAAAAAAAAACGACATATGCCTTATCATTGTTGCAGTGTTTGCTAAACTGAACAGGCACATAGAGGCACAACCTGACAAGGTTCTAAACCCTTCCCTTATATATCCAAAACATTTTGTCAGGAGTTGGGCTTTAACGGACATGTTTACAGGTCAGGACAACAATGACACATCTGTTTTCATTGTTCTTTTTCTCTTGTTAGCCCTACTCATGATCAATAAACATTTACATACATCTACTGACCACCAGCATACACTTTATGGCCAAATGTTTATGGACACCTAGCTATCACTCCTACACTATCTGACCATAAGAGAGAGAGTTCAGGTGTTTCTGCTGAAGGGTACTGTTAATGCTACAGCATATGTTTTTTTGTGTGCTTCCAACCTTGTTTGAACAGTTTACAAAAGATTATTTTCTGGTCCAGCATGAATGTGCCCTGTACGCAATGCCAACTCCATGAAGACATGGTTTGATAAGCCCGGTGAGAAGAAAGTTGGGTGTCCTACACAAAGCCTTAACCTCTACTCTACTAAACACCTTTGGGATGAATTGTAATGCTGACTGCCAGCCAGGACTTTTCCAACATCAGAATCTGGCTTGATCTAAAAGATCTTTTATCTAAAAAGGCACACATTCGCCCAGACACACTCCAAAGTCTCATGAAAGCTGTCCCAGAGCTGTGAAGTCTGTTATAGCTACCAAGGGGAGATTGACTACAAAAGTTCTTAGTTTAAAAATGGGATATCCAACAAGCTCATAGGGGTGACAGTGAGGTGTCCAAAAACTTTAGACCATATGGTGTAACACAATGTCTTTAACTGCTTCCGCACCACCCTATAGCAGAAATACTGCTACAGGGCGGCACAGGTGCTCAAAATCACGTATATATACAGTGAAGGAAATAAGTATTTGATCCCCTGCTGATTTCGAATGTTTTCCCACTTACAAAGAAATGATCAGTCTAAAAATCGAATGGTAGGTGTATTGTAACACTGAGCGACAGATTAGCAACAAAAAATTCAAAAGAAATGCATGTCTAACAAATTATGCACTGATTTGCATGTTCATGAGGGAAATAAGTATTTGATCCCCTATCATTCAGCAGGATTTCTGGCTACCAGGTGTCTTTCATACAGATAACAAGCTGAGATTATAAGCAATCTCTTAAAGGGAGTGCTGCTAATCTCATTTTGTTACCGATATAAAAGACACCTGTCCAAAAGAGCTGTCCAAGGATGTCAGGGACAAGATTGTAGACCTACACAAGGCTGGACTGGGCTACAAAACTATCTCCAATCAGCTTGGTGAGAAGGTGACAACAGTTGGTGCAATCATTTACAAATGGAAGAAACACATAACAACTGTCAGTCTCCCTAGGTCTGGTGCACCATGCAAGATCTCACCTCGTGGAGTGTCAATGAACATGAGAACAGTGAGGAATCATCCCAGAACTACACGTGAGGATCTTGTCAATGATCTCCAGGCAGCTGGGACCACAGTCACCAAGGAAACAATTGGTAACATTACGCCGACAAGGATTGAAATCCTGCAGTGCCTGCAAGGTCCCTCTGCTCAAAAAAGCACATGTTTAGGCCCAGCTGAAGTTTGCTACTGAACATCTAAATGATGCAGAGGAAGACTGGTTGAAAGTGTTGTGGTCAGATGAGACCAAAATCGAGCTCTTTGGCATCAACTGAACTTGCCGTGTTTGGAGGAGGAGGAATGATGCCTATGACCCCAAGAACACCATCCCAACTGTCAAACATGGTGGTGGAAACATTCTGCTTTGGGGGTGTTTTTCTGCTAAGGGGACAGGATAACTGCACCGCATCAAAGGGACGATGGATGGGGCAATGTACCGTCAAATCTTGGGTGAGAACCTTCTTTCCTCAGCAAGGGCATTGAAAATGGGTCATGGATGAGTGTTCCAGCATGACAATGACCCAGAACACATGGCCAAGGCAACAACGGAGTGGCTCAAGAAGAAGCACATTAAGGTCCTGGAGTGGCCTAGCCAGTCTCCAGACCTTAATCTGATTGAAAATCTGTGGAGGGAGCTGAAAGTTTGAGTTGCCAAATGTCAGCCACCAAACCTTAATGACTTGGAGAGGATTTGCCAAGAGGAGTGGGCCAAAATCCCTCCTGAGATGTGTGCAAACTTGGTGGCCAACTGCAGGAAACATCTGACTTGTGATTGCCAACAAGGGATTTGCCACCAAGTACTAACCCATGCTTTGTGAAGGGTATCAAATCCTTATTTCCCTCAGGAACATGCAAATCAGTGTATAATTTGTTAGACATGCATTTCTTTTGATTTTTTTGTTGCTATTATGTCTCTCAGTGTTACAATACACCTACCATTCAAGTTTTAGACTGATCATTTCTTTGTGAATGGGCAAACATTCAAAATCAGCAGGGGATCAAATACTTATTTCCTTTTGTGTACATAATTTTGCATTTTTGGGTAGGGGGTGCATGTGAGCCACGCGCGCGCCCTACCCATACCACTGTTCGCGGCCACAGCTGTCAATCACCGGGTCTCGGACGGTGATTTCCCACGATCTCTGACGGGGAGGAGAACTGTTTTGTTTACTAACAGTTCTCCTTCCTGTCAGCTTGGGCACATTGCTTTGGATGGCTGTGACCGTGCAATTGTCAGTTAAAATAACGCAGCGCCGTAATGCAAAAAATGGCCTGGTCAGGAAGGGGGGTAAATCCTCTGGAGGGCAAGTGGTTAATGTATTTTGTTTGGGTTTAAAGTGTTACTAACCCCGGACCCTGCATTCACTATATCTGGTCTTCCACAGTACATACAACATGGAAATGCAATTATTTTAATAAATATAAACTGCTAAATACCTTTTCTTATCAGCAGTTAGAGCAGTCTTGTGACTTCTATCAATGTCCAGCAGAGCAGAACACTTAAAGCTAGTAGGAGGAGTTTTCATTTTCCTCTGATTGTCCTATGAGGCGGAATAACCCCTGACTCTCTGCCTGAACAGCGCTGATTGGCCCTGTGTTGATCACATGCACCCTCCCAAGAAAAAAAAAAAACAACTGGCAGCATAGTGTCTACATGGTTAGCACCTCTGCTTGGCAGTACTAGGGTTGTTGGTTCAAATCCCAACCACCGCACCACCTGCCTGGAGTTTGCATGTTCTCCCTGTACCTGCGTGGGTTTCATCCGGGTACTCTGGTTTCCTCCCACACTCCAAAGACATGCTGATAGGTGAATTGGATCCTGTCTAAATTGGCCCTAGTATGTGTGAGTTAGGATCTTAGATTGTATGCCTCTTGAGGGTTAGGGACTGATGGGAATGTACAATATATATGTAAAGCACTGTATAAATTGACAGTGCTATATAAGTACCTGAAATAAATAAATAAAACTATATAGCAATACACACCAAACTGAGCATGTGCATCTTGCTCCCAAGGGTCTGTTCTAATAGCAGATGGATGGGGACAGTAGAAGAATGGGAGGATCAGAGAAGACATGATCAACCATCTTTTTTACACAATGCAGAGGATTAACCCCTTAGGTTCCACAGTGAGTATAACAAGCATGCTTTACTGCATATACAGGTTGATTTTACTGTTGTGGGTTTAGTAACACTTTAAACATCAAACCAATTAATAAAACCTGCTGATGTCATTAAACACCTGTAGGCCATGTTCACTGTGAAAAGTGTTCATTGTTCAGCATGTTCATAGTGAGACTCCAGTCTAAACAGCGACAAAGTTTTTCACTTTCCATTCATATCTTTATTAATATTAGTAAAGAAAAGACGTCTATTGCTCAGCACGCTTCTTTCCGAACCCTCCTTATCCGGAGCTTCAATGTATCAGGAAAGTGCATACATTTCCACAAGCACAATTTACGGCTTCGAGGCCGCAAATCGGTTACCTTCATAAACTTCACATTTGGTCCACTTGATTTTATGTAACAGTTATTATTTCAACCCCTTTGTATTGTAATCATATTTCTGTAAAAAAAAAATGAATGTCACAACAACTGTAGGAATGGCGGTTTCACTCCAAAGTGCCACTAAAGGCAGAACACCGGACAGCAATACTTGAGTATCTCAAGAGATATGTACCCTTCCTCTTGAAGTATGTCAATCCCATGTGTATGGGCCACCAGCAAAAGTCTGCTAATGTATGTTTGTTCTTGGATGTCTTCATTGTGCTTTTCTCGTAGGAATACTGATGACCCCCCCTCCCCCCCTTGCTCATGGGAAGGGCCAAACACCATAGCACAGCATGGAGATCTTCACTTGGCTTCAAAGATTCTTACACAATGTTCTGTGCAGATGTATATGTTACACAATATTGCTTTATGCTGCAGCATAAAACCCAGGACAGGGATCCAAGCCTCGAAATTGAGTTACAGGCTTGGGACCTGTACATGTGGCTATGACACTTCTGGTAATGAGTTGTTGTTTCATGAGCAGTCTTTGCACAGAGCTACTTGTCCTCGATGGTAGTCTCTACACGGACATAGCCGACGGAACTTTGTGTTTTGTCCTGAGCAGCTAAAGAGCAGCGGCTCCCTCTGCAGATAGCATTCACGGACTTGGGGTGACACTGCAGGATACAAATGGCTCATTACAGACTCTGTACTGTCACACTGGGCTCCAAGCCTAAAAGATGAAAACAATAAGACATGTGAGTGATAGAGAGATGCGACACATGAAATACAACAGGGATGTCCACACTAGAGACTATAAAACATTATTGCCTGTTAACTACTGAATTACTACCAGTTTATCTTCAGTCATAAATAGTGAAGGCTGCCCCATGGTGACACATGTCATACCTACACAAAGAAGTGATGTGTCAATCTGTATCCTCAACTCTAAGGGCTCATGTACACTGCAGCTGATAAACTCACGTTTAGGAGCTGTTCAGCGTTTTTTTTTTCAGCAGCCCCTGAACTCACCCTAATGTTTTTCTATGTGTCCATGTACACACATCATCGTTTACAGGCATTTGAGTTTACAGTCGTTTTTTTGAACGCAGAAAACTTGCGTTCAGCAGTCGATTATCAGCGTTTCAAACGCAAGACACAGCTAAACGGGGAAAATCGTGTTTATTAGCATTTGCGCCTGAAATTTTTTTTTAACTCTTTCAGTTCCCAATGCTGTCCAGAGCCTTTTTTCATCATGAAAAATGCATGCAAAGCGTTTTCAAGGTACTCAGATGGACAAAACACTGAACACAGGATGTTCCTACCACAAATAAACGCGGAAAATCGCGCTTATTAGCATTTGCGTCTGAAAATGTTTTTTTAACTCTTTCAGTTTCCAATGCTGTCCAGAGCCTTTTTTCATCATGAAAAATGCATGAAAAGCATTTTCAAGGTACTCAGATGGACAAAACACTGAACACAGGATGTTCCTACTGCAGCTAAACGCGGAAAATTGTGTTTATTAGCATTTGCGTCTGAAATTTTTTTTTAACTCTTTCAGTTCCCAATGCTGTCCAGAGCCTTTTTCATCATGAAAAATGCATGCAAAGCGTTTTCAAGGTACTCAGATAGACAAAACACTAAACACAGGATGTTCCTATCAAGCTTGTCACACATTGTAATGACCAATTCACACCTCAGACCTCTCACACCCTTGGAAACAAAAGATATGTTAATGCCCATTCACACCTCAAATTCCTCATTATTATTATTATTATTATTATAGAGTATTTATATAGCGTCAAAGGGTTTGCTCAGTGCTGTACATTAGAATGAAGACCTCCTGCCAGGTGGCCTTAATGACTCACCCCACCAGACACCTTTCCCACCCTTGGAAACAAAAGGAATGTTAAGGAGCAACTCACACCTAATTATCTCAACACATACTGCTGTCTCTGCTTCTACTCTCTATTTCCCTGAAACAGTCTGAAATAGTTAGTAATTTACCACTTTTCAGTGCATTCTGGGCATTTGGGAGGTTCTCCTGTGCTTATCTTTAAAAAAAATGCTTCTAAACGCAAACGCACATAAACACGCATAAACGCGTTATGCAAACGCGGCTAAACAGACGGTTTTTAACCTATGTTTTCCAGCAGTCAGTTTCCATCGTTCAGAAGTGTCTCGTGCATATAGGGCCTAAGGCTTCATTCACAGTATTGAGTTTTGGGCGTTTTGTAGCAAGTTTGCATGTGTGGTTTTGTCCAGTGTTTTTCAGTTTTGGTATTTTTTAACCACTTCAATACCAAGCACTTTTTCCCCCTTCCTGCGCAGGCCAATATTCAGGTTTCAGCACTCTCACATTATTGCGCAGTCAACCCAAACTAAATTTTTAACACTAGAGCTTTCTTTTGGTGGTATTTAATCACCACTGGGGTTTTTATTCTTTGCTAAATTAACAAAAGAAAATTTCTTTCTGCTATATTTCTTTGGTGAAAATAACCCAAATCAGTATTTATTATTTAGTTTGTAGGAAAGTTATAGAGTTCACAAACTATGGGATAGATCTGAAAATTGACCAATACTGAAGTATTGATGGCCAATTTAATTTCTTGAGGTCCATAAATGTCTGAACAGTACAGATATCTCCCAAATGATCCCTTTTTGCAAAGTAAACAGTCCAACGTATTTCATAAGAGGCATGGCGAGTTTTTTGAAGTTGTAATTTTTTTGTGATAATTTTTTGGAAAATTAAGAAATTAAAAAAATTATTTTCACAATTTTTTTTACATACTATTACCAGTGCAGTACAGCGTCCTCATATAACTGGCATGGCGGTGATTAGGGGCACTGACTGGTGACACACTGACTGGTGACAGTATGAAAAAAAATTTGATAATTTTTTTTCAATTTTTATTTTATTTTGTATTACATTTTTTCTCTTTTTTTTTAAGATTTTTCTTTCATATTACACTATGACTAAAGTAGTATAATGTTACCATAGTAACATTGTACTACTTTGAGGAAGAGATCAGTATTTTGTTTTTTTTTTACACAATTTGATTGCTTATAGCAAATCAATTCATTCAGGTTTTTTTTGTTGTGATTAACTGTGATTGGCCACAGCTAATCACATGACACAGATGGGCTGTGATTGGCCCAGTCTGTGCATGTGATCACTGTGACCATTCACAGCTAGACACACATGTATACAATGGATGGCATGAAAGAAAGCCATACGATGTTTACAACTGTCATGTGACCGGTCACATGGTACTGGCAGTGGGTCGGTACACAGATCTGTCTTCGACCGTGTCCAAGGTACACAGCCAGTGACAGATCTCGCCAGAGCGCGGCCATGCGGGCATGCGCAAGGCACGATCCGGGAAGGACATTATATGATGCCCTCCTGGATTGACGAGAGTCCCGTCCGGCCGTCATTTTACTATACGCCAGACTGGAAGTGGTTAATAGCCAGTAGAGAAAATAACATAATTTTTTGCTAGGCTTTTCAGGTTTTTTTTTAGCTTTTCCATCAGCTTTTTTTTAACTTTTTTAATTTATTAGTATTATTTTTTTTGTTAGGGTAAAGGGGTTTGAGTTAGATTAGGTGATTAAGGGTTGGAATTAGGGGTTAATATTTTATTTATTGTCTTCTTTTTATTTATTTATTTATTGTTAGGGTAGGATGTTAAAGGACAAGTTCACCTTCGTACAAAAAAATAATGAATGCACATTTTATTTCAAGTAAAAAAATGTCAATTTATTATTTTTTGTTGCAGGAACCAGTAAACCATTGCACCAGTGATCAGCAGATCACTGGACCCATGCAGGTCTCCTGCAGATCTGTTAGTATATCTGTTTGCCTGTACAGGATGTATGGACAAGCAGATGTATTGAAAGGAAGACTCAATGAACTCTGTGGAGAGCTGTGGTAGTTCATTAAGAACTACAAACCGACCAAGGATATCGGTACTTATACTGTAGTTTAATGAGTTTTAGTGAATGAGTGACGCAGCCCCACACAGTCATGTTTTTTTAAATTTGACAGCTAGCAGGGGGGAGAATATCCTCTGCTAGCTGTCAAAGTGGGGGAAGGTGTATTAATAACATGTTACATGTTACACCCTGAATATGGGTGTAACATGTAATGAAAGATGAACTTATCATTTAATTTATATTATTATTATTATTATTATTATTATTATTGTTAATATATTTTTGTTAGCGTGTTTATTACTATTGTATTATTATTATTATCAATTTATGTATTTATTTTTTTAGTGTTCGGGGTTAAGGTTAAGTGTTATTTATTTTTTATGATTATTTTTATTTATTTGTGTAATTATTTTATTTAATAAAAATGTATTTATTCATTTATTATTATTTATTTATTTATTCTTTTACATTTTTTCATTTGAGAAGAAAAACCTGTGACAAAATGCGCAAACCGTGTGTTTTCATTCATTGCTATGGAATAAAAAAACCCGCAAATCTGCCCAATTTGAGCATTAAAAAAAGCTCCAGAACTTATTTGAGCTTCAGGCATTTGGCTCCAGGCAATTTGGAGTGTAGTGGAACCATCTCCATTGAGAATAATTGATTTTTTTTTTCTCCTCAAGGGTTTTGGAGTTTCAATCTACAAATCGCTCAAGTGTGAATGGGGCCTAGCTATACTAATACATTCTCAGATGTCTATCTGTTTAACCACTTCAAGTCCGGACACTTTAACCCCCTTCCTGTCCAGGCTAATTTTCAGCTTTCAGCGCTATCACACTTTGAATGACAATCACGTGGTCATGCAACACTGTACCCATATAAATTTTTTTAGCATTTTTTTGAGACAGATAAAACTTTATTTTGGTGATATTTATTCACCACTGGGATTTTTTTTTTTGCTATATAAATGAAAAAGTCCAAACATTTTGAAAAAAAAAGTGTTTTTCTTATAAAATTTTGCAAATAAATACTCATTCATAAATATTGGCCAAAATGTATTCAGCTATCTTTTTAGTAAAAAAAATAACCCAAATTAGTTTATAACCAAAAATAATAATTAAAAAAAAGTTTTTTTTACATTTTAATTTTTTTTTATATTATTATTTATGTTTTTTTTACTGTCACCCTAACAGTACAGTGTTACCATAGTTACACTGTACTACTTGTGGGGGGTGATTAAGATTTTTTTCTTTTTTTACACACCGATTGCTTTTACACCCATAAAGGTTGTAAAGGCAATAGTTTCTCCTTCTCTCTTGCTGCATTCTTGCAGCCATTGAGAAATACTGTGAGAGCTGTGATTGGTCACAGCTTGTCACATGGTACAAGGCTGTTGTGAATAGCCTTGCACCATGTGACCTCTGTGATCATTCACAGATTTCACTAGTAGTATGCAATGATGTTAGGAAGTGTCATCTTGCTTACTATTAGTCATGTGATCACTGATTGGCCAATCAGTGATCACATGATAGGGACCTCACACAGAGGTCCCATACAATGATTGGTGTTCCACTGTGTCCGGGGGTGTGTACAGTGGTTGGTGTTCCCAGGGAGCGCGCACAGGCAGTGAATGTGGGGCCCATTTATTATAAACGGCCACCCGCTTCAGCACTGCTCCTGTACGGCCGTTTATGTGCATGGGCCGGATGGGAAGTGGTTAAACGAAAATTGTACAATCTGGTATCATATGAGAAACATTTTCATGCTTGTCCCTTCAAATTTCAGATACAAACTGTC